CTGTGCCAAGGCTTTCCGTCAGGCCCCTCGGCAAAGGTCGGAGGAAAGGAGCCATGGGCCGCGTGGTAATTGTGCATGGCGACGCCCAGCTCCTTCATGGATCTCTGGGCTTTGAGTAATCGCACGTGCTCGGTTGTTATGTCGTAGTTTGCTTCTCCTGGTTTGGGAGGGTCACCGCTTGCCACGTGTGAGATGTGAGGAAGTTTGATTAGTTCCTTGTCGCTTACATTGCCGGGTCGAAACAAACCCAGGTAGTTGCCTTTGGTGATTTCCTTTGCCGCGTCGCGCCCAACTCGTGCGGAAATTCGTTCGTCTTCGATCTCCTCCAGACGAATCAATACGATCCGATTATCTTCCACTCGCTTCGTAGGGCTGAGAGCCATTCCCAGGTAGTAACCCTTTTTGAGGTTATCGTACGGCGAAGCCGGGATCCCCGGCGCGGGAACAAGCTCAACCGTGCCGTCGTCATTAACCTCAACCATGACCCGCAGAACGGGTGGCTTCGTCATGACGTACTCAAACTCGGCCAAGACCTCTGGTGCTGGGTCCTCAGCGAGTGAGTACTCGCACAGCCCGAGAGCGCAGATCATCAGGGCGAAACAGATCAGACCCCTGGTCGTAGTGCGCGTGAACCGCATGAGTACTGCCCCTTGCAAGTTGGAGATCGATTGGGATGAATGCCCTTCAAGATAAGCGCTGACTCGCGCGATTGCACAATCTGAGTGCTCCAAAGTACGAATGCCACACGCATAGCCGCTGTGATTGCCCCGACGTAAGAAATAGCCCCCTTCTCGCGTCGAAACGATGTGTCCGGCGCGTAAGTTGTTGTCTCGACGTGGGAAATAGCGGCTCGTTGACTTGGTGTTGGCCCGCTCTAATAATGGGCTCGACGCGCAAATAGCGGCCGTTTCCGGCCTTCCGACCCCTCCTTCTGGCCATGCTTATGCCTCCTCGTGCCCTTACTGCTTTGCCCGTCTTCAACGAGGTTCATCACGTCGACGCCGTACTCGATGAAGTGCTGCGCTATAGCAGCGACGTGCTGGTGGTCGACGACGGCTCGACCGATGGAACCTCGGAGTTGCTCGAGCAACGCACGGATATTCAACGGATTCGCCACACGACCAACCGAGGCTATGGCGCGGCTTTGCGGTCGGCGTTCGAGTATGCCATTGAGAACGACTACGAGATCGTTGTGACCATCGACTGCGATGGCCAACACGAACCGCAGCGAATCCCGCGGTTCATCCATGCCTGCAGTCAGGCCGACATCGTCTCGGGCAGCCGTTACCTGCGGCGTTACGAGAACGACTCGGCCCCGCCGGAAGAACGTCGGCGTATCAATCATCAGGTGACTGCAGAGTTGAATCGACGCTTGGGCCTGAAGCTGACCGATGCCTTCTGTGGCTTTAAGGCCTATCGTGTTGAAGCCCTGAAGAAGCTCACGCTCACCGACAACGGTTATGCCATGCCGCTGGAGTTATGGGTGCAAGCCGCGTCCGAGGGAGTAAGAATCATCGAACTTCCGGTCCCGCTGATCTACCTGGACGAGAAGCGATCGTTCGGCGGGGCCTTGGACGACTCGGCGAAGCGGCTGCAGTATTATCACCTGGTGCTCGACCGAAGCATGGCGATGGTCGAAACGCCCGGCGGCCGACCTTGGGTCGGAACGTTGTGTGGAGAGTTGGCCGGATGACGGTGGCCGAACCGAACATCGAACGGCCGCGCTTGCAGGCGCCCCGCGAGGACGGAGAGGTTCTACTCGAACCCTCCGGCAGCGAACTCTCCTCGCTCATCGATGCGAACATTCAGCGGTTCGAAGGCATCGACTACGACATGCAGGGCCGCTCGTTCGCCGAGTTGCGACAACAAGCCCGCAGTGAATTGGTCGCCTCTGCTTCGCAGTACACCTCGACCTATCTCGACCCCGCGCGAGGGACCGATTTCCCTCGCCTGTTACTGGCTGGCCATCAGCCGGGGCTGTTCCATCCGGGGGTTTGGCTCAAGAATGCCGCCCTCGATCGCCTGGCCCGACAACACAACGCGGTGGGCGTGAACCTGCAAATCGACAACGACACGCTGAAGGCCCCTTCGATTCGCGTGCCCAGCGGGACAATCGATTCACCCACGGCCCGTCCCGTGCTATTCGACCGTGCGGAAGCCGAGATTCCGTTCGAGCAGCGTGAGATTGCCGATCGCGCGGTGTTCGAAAGCTTTGGCTCTCGCGCCGCCGAGCAGATCGCCCCGTTCATCAGCGATCCGTTGCTCAACGAGTACTGGCCACAAGTAATCGAGCGTTCGCAGCATACGAACTTGCTGGGCTCGTGCATCTCACTGGCACGGCATCAATTGGAATCGTCGTGGGGCCTCGCAAACCTGGAGTTGCCGCAAAGCGCGGTCTGCGGTCTCGAATCGTTTCACTGGTTCGTCGCTCATTTGTTGGCCAATCTGCCACGGTTTCATGGTGTTCACAACGTGGCCCTGGCCGAATACCGCCGTCTACATCACATTCGCAGTGCGAATCACCCCGTGCCCGAGCTGGTGAGCGAAGGTGACTGGCTGGAGGCTCCGTTTTGGATCTGGAACGACGCTGCACCCCGCCGCAGGAAGTTATTCGTCCGCCGCATGGGGCTCGAATTGCAGGTTTCTGATCGCCAGGGCTTCGAGCGAACATTGCCTTTGGAGGCCAATCGTTCGGCCCAACGCGCGGTGGAAACTCTCGCCGAATGGGAGCGCGAAGGGGTCAAAATCCGCACACGAGCCCTGACGACCACACTTTTTTCGCGACTTCTTTTGGCCGACGCGTTCATTCACGGCATCGGCGGTGCGAAGTACGACGAGCTGACCGACATGCTCATCAAGCGGTTCTACACGATGCCCGTTCCTGGCATCATCGTCGTTTCCGCCACGTTACTTTTGCCGATCGACCGCGAGAGAGTCACGCATGAAGAAGCGCGACGCGTCGATCGCGAACTTCGCGAGTTGACGTATCACCCTGAGCAGTTTTTGCCAAAAGACGCGGAAATCGACGCGAAATTAGAGAAACTCATTGCCGAAAAACGCCGCTGGATCGACACGCCGAAGACTGAAGAGAACGCGGCGCAACGTCATCATGCGATCCTGCACGCCAACGAAGCGTTACAACCATTGGTGGCAACGCAGCGCGAACGGTTGAAACATGTGCGCGAGGAAATGAAGCGGCGGCTTCGCGCCGAAGACATTCTTGCGTCGCGCGAATTCGCATTTTGTTTGTTCCCGAAAAAAATGTTGGAGGTTTTTCTGCTGGAAATCGGCACAGTTTCCCTATAGGCTATGCGCTACCTGAAAGGATTCTCCACCAGGGATGGGAATTTGGCCGATGAGCACAAATGCTTCAGAGTCGGCGCCTGCCAAGGCAGTGGGCACTCGGAAGATCACGAATCACCGTACTCTCTCTCGCCAGCCGGATCGGCGAAACGGCACCTCTCACGGTGCTGAGAATCACAGTACCGACAAACACGGCACCGAAAATCGGAGTGCCGAAAACGGTCACGCTCCCGGCTTTCAGCCCTCAGAAGTTTCTTCTGCTGAAATCCAGCCGCCTCTTCCAGACGCACCCCAGAAGTTCGACGATAGTTCGACCGTTACAACGAACGGTGTGAACGGAAACGGGGCGTCCACCACCAAGGCCAAGGCTGCGAAGCCGAAGCAATCGCCCCCTCCGGTGGTTTCTTTCGATGTCAGCTCGGAGAAAGGTGAGAAGGAACCGCGCATTCAGTACGCCACGCCCGGCGATCATGCGGCGGTTTACAACTTCTTGACCACCGTGTTCCAGGGCCCGCCGCGCGATGCGTTCATGGCCACGCTCGACGATCCGTTCTACGAACCAAGCGACCGTCTACTGATAAAGAGCGGACACCGGCTGCTGGCCCACGCTCACGTATCGAAACGCGTCATTCATTTCGGCCCCATCACCTTGCCCGTGGCCGGGCTGCACTGGCTGGCCACTTCGCCCGAGTATCGCGGTCGCGGGTTTGCCCGCACTTTGTTGAAGGCCGCCCACGACTTGATGGTCGAAGACGGCTCGGTGTTGGCCACATTGAACACCAGTGAGCCGCATTTCTTCCGTAGCGAAGGTTGGGCGTTGTGCGGCCGACATTGTCATTCCTCGGGCTGTACCCGCGATTTGTTGTCTCAACTGACCGATCGGGGGAATCGCCACACGCGACGATTGAGCATTCGCCCCTGGCGGCAAGTTGAACTGCCCGGCGTGATGCGGGTGTTCCGGCAGAACACGGCCGAAACCTTTGGTCCCGTCGAAAGGACCGAAGCTTACTGGCGATGGCTGGTGAGCCGGAAGGGATTTGATCAACTGTTTGTCGCCATCGCCGGTCCTGACCGTCTCGATATCGACGAAGGGATGGCCCACATCGTTGGCTACATGATCACCAAGCGCGATCACATTGTCGAGCTGTTCGCCTCGCCCGAGCACCCGGAAGCGATTCGCCAGCTACTCGCCCGCGGCTGCAGCGATGCCATTGAACATGACTACCACCAGTTGGTTTATCACGGCTCGCCTTACGACCCCGTGCATAGCATTTTCCAAACGGCCGGCGGTTCGCGTCGCTTGCACGAGTCGTACAACGGTGAAGTGACGATGGTCAAACTGTTCGACCCGGTGGCGTTCCTCAAACGCATCAGCCCAATTCTTCACCATCGGGCCACGGCCGCCAAGTTGAACCGCCCCACCGAATTGGGCTTGGTGCTAGACGGGCAGAAGTTATCGCTGAAGATCACCCGGCGTGGTGTTCGCGTATCGACCGACAAGATCGGCCGCAGCCATCTCACGTGTAACATCGCCGAGTTCACGCGACTGGTGATGGGCCACGTCGATGTGGAAGAGGTGGTGAAGGCAGGAAGAATCGAAGTTTCGACCCAAGTCGCCTTGCAAACCGCCGGGGCTCTGTTCCCCGCACTACCGCTGTGGCGCCCCTCGATGGACGAACTGGTACTGTAGGTGCCGACTACTTGATCAGCGACTTGGCGGTCTTCACCATGTTCTCGGCGGTGAGGCCGAATTGCTTGAGGAGTTCGGCGAATGGAGCGGAGGCTCCGAAGCCTTTCATGCCGATGAAGCGTCCTTGTGAGCCTAGGTACTTGGCCCACCCCTGATCGCAGCCGGCCTCCAGGGCAACCCGGGCCGTGATTTCCGGCGGGAAGACGCTGTTGCGGTAGGCTTCGTCCTGGTCTTCGAACAACTCCCACGAAGGCATGCTCACCACGCGGGCGGGAATCCCCTCTTTGGTAAGTTGCTCGTAGGCCTCAACGCAGGTCGAAAGCTCGCTGCCGGTGCCGATCAGAATCACTTTCGGTTGGCCCTTTTCAGGATCGGCCAACACGTAGGCCCCACGTCGGGCCCCTTCGGCCGCAGCGAACTTCGTGCGATCGAGCGTGGGCAGATTCTGTCGCGAGAGGACGAACGACGCCGGACGGTTTGTGCAACACATCACCTCGCGCCACAGTTCGGCCGCTTCGTTGGCATCGCCGGGGCGAATGGTGATCATGCCGGGGATGGCCCGCAGTGCGGCCAGGTGTTCGATCGGCTGATGCGTTGGTCCGTCTTCGCCCACGCCGATTGAGTCGTGCGTGAACACGTAGATCACCGGAACTTCCATGATCGCACTGAGCCGCAACGCCCCACGGGCGTAGTCGCTGAAGACTAAGAACGTTGCGCCGTACGGTCGCAATCCCGAGAGGGCCATTCCGTTGATCACGGCGGCCATCGCATGTTCGCGAATGCCGAAGTGGAAGTTGCGACCCCCGTAGCTGCCGGCCTCGAATGGGCCCGCACCGTCGAAGTCCAACAGTGTCATGGTCGAAGGGGCGAGGTCGGCCGATCCGCCCAAGAGCCACGGCACGTTCTTGGCCACCGCGTTGAGCACCTTACCTGAGGAGACCCGGCTGGCCAGCCCCTTGGCGTCGGCATCGAATGTCGGAATGTCGGCGTCCCAACCCTTGGGCAGCTCACCACTTTGCATTTGCTCCCAACGTGCGGCCAACTCGGGAAAGGCCTTTTTGTACTCGGCAAACTTCTCGGTCCATTCGGCGTAGCTTTCGGCCCCGCGTCGACCGAGTTGTTCTTCGAAGTTCTCACGAACGCCCTCGGGCACTAGGAACTTCTCATCCTCGGGCCAACCATAGGCGGCTTTGGTCAGGCGGATTTCGTCGTCTCCCAAAGGAGATCCGTGGGCTTTGCTGGTGCCTTGCTTGTTGGGCGATCCCCAGGCGATCTTGCTGTGCACCACAATCAGCGTGGGCCGGTCGTCCACATCGCCGAATTGCGAGAGGGCATTTTCAATCGCGCTCACATCGTTGGCGTCTTCCACTTCGATGACGTGCCAACCTAGAGCCTCGAAACGCCCCGGCACGTTTTCACTGAAGGCCAACGAGGTGCCGCCTTCGATCGTGATTTTGTTGTCGTCGTAAATCCAGCACAGGTTCGACAGCTTCAAGTGCCCGGCCAGTGAAGCGGCTTCGTTGCTGATGCCCTCCATCAAGTCGCCGTCGCTGCACACGGCATACACGTTGTAGTCGAACAGCTCGAACCCGGGCTTGTTGAAGTGCTCGGCGTACCACTTGGCGGCGATGGCCATGCCCACGCTGTTGCTTACGCCTTGGCCCAGGGGACCGGTGGTGGTTTCGATGCCCGCGGCGTGCCCATGCTCGGGGTGCCCGGCACAGGGGCTTCCCCATTGGCGGAAGTTGCGAATGTCTTCCAGCGTGATCGCGAGTTCTTTCGACCCGTCGTCTTTGCTCACGCCGGCCAGGTGGAGCGTGGCATACAGCAGCATCGAGGCGTGCCCGCAGGAGAGCACGAAGCGATCGCGGCCGGGCCAGTGCGGGTGTTTGGGATCGTAGTTCAGCTCTTTTGTCCACAGGGTGTAGGCCACGGGGGCCAGCGCCATGGGGGTGCCAGGGTGGCCGCTGTTGGCTGCCTGAACGGCGTCCATCGACAGGGTGCGAATCGTGTTGATCGAAAGCTGTTCGATGCCCGAGGTGGAAATCGCCATGCGTACATTCCGTGCGAAAGGTGGCTGAAAACTACGAGTGGGGCGCCCCTGGCGACATTTTGCCGCCAAAGCGCTCGCGGCGAGTTTAAAGGTACAAAAATGATCCGTCAACGAGGCCCGGCGCCGGCCAATCTCCACGTAACCCAGGGAAAAACACGGACATAGGGACAGTAGGCTGGTCGAACCCAACCTGCGTCTGCGAGCCAGGCCGGTTTCCTTAGCGGCTTTTTAACAATCGAGAACGGCCTGGGGCCTCTCGAACTGCAAAGCCAGGGCATTCAGGCCGTCGCCGGCTGAGAAGCCTTCACGAAGACGTAGGCGAAGAAGATCGCAAACAGCAGATCGGTTGGGCCATAGATGCTGAAGAACAGGCCGCTCATGAAATCGCGTTCAAAGAGGGACTTAACCGTATCCTGATTGCCTTGGATCCACATGGCCCAGTGGACCGCGTACAGGGCCTTCTCGAGGGAGAACACAGCTGCGAGCCACTTCACCTGGCGCCAGTGGTTTGCCGTGGCGATGTATGCCAGGCCCCACAGGATAATGCCCAGCAGCCCGAAGTTGGACATCGCCGTGGGATCGGCCTGTCCAAGCTCCGGGTTGGTGAACGCCATCGACGTGCCCAGGGCACCCGCGATGTTGATAACGCCGGCTACGATGAAGCCTGTTCGAATAAGGTTGTCGCTCATTGGGGTGGCATGTCGGGGCCAGAAAGGCTCTTGAGGAACTCGATCACGGCCAGTCGTTCGTCCTGAGTTAAAGAGTCGCCAAAGGTATGGCCCATGTTGCCGTGCCCGTAGGCGGCGGTGTCGTACATCGTACTGTGGTCAACCGCTGCTGAGGAGCTGAACGGCTTGCCGTCGGCCGCGGCGGCACTGGCTGCGAACTCGTCGCGAGTCACATCCTCGTAGGCCATTCCAACTTGCGCGAGATTGTAAGCGTGAGGGTCGCGATTGGTGCGCGACCAAATCTCGGGCCGTTGCTTCGAGTTGAGTACCGCTTCGATCGTGGGAACCGAACCGTTGTGGAAGTACGGTGCGGAGGCCCAAACACCAACCAGCGGCGGAGCAACGTAGCCATCGGTCGAGGGCACGGTCGCCCGCGGTGCCAGTTCCGGCTTGCCTTGAGCTTCGTAGTACTCGGCCAACTTGCTCACGTGTTCGGCAATCGGAGCGAACTGTTTCAGGGTTTCGTTGTAGGCCGTATCAGTCTTTACGTTTCTGATCACGTGCGAGAAGTCGTAGTCGACCGTCCACGAGCCCGGCTTGCTCAAGTCGGGTTCGGAAGGGCTTTTCGTATAAGACCCGTGGCAGGTCTTACAGGCTCGAAAACCTGCCTTGTTCTCCGGCGGCACGCGACCGTGAAACAGGTCGGAGCCCTGTTGCACTAGTTCGGCATCCAAGCTTTCTGGGAATGGCGGGGACGTGGTCTCGCGGGCGAAGGTCAATGCCTTGGCTACGGTTCCCACGTGCTCCTCGTGGTGCTCGTTCATGCCTGGGTAGGGCGTGGTGAAGTTGATCGAAAAACTCGCCGCGTCGTGGGGGCCCGCATCGGCGTACCAGTAGTCTTTCGTCTTGTATTTCATCAGCCACCACGGCATCGGGTCGACCGGCGGCAGCTGGACCGAGTTGAACAGTTTCTGCAGCTCAGTCTTCTCCGTGGCAAGGGCCAGGCCCTCGTTCGCCGGGTCGATCAGTTGAGAACTCAAACGCCAGACTTCGTAGGGGCCATAGTTATCACCCCGCGTTCGTGGGTTCCGCGGATCGGATTGATTGATGTGATTGTTTGCCAGCCCGGCGACGACTTGCCCGTTGACGACTCCAGAGTGACAACCCAGGCAGTTGATATTGACCATCGATGCACCGTCGCGATCGAAAACGCTTTCACCAAGAGCGAACCCGGTGCCTTCGCCAGACGAGCGATCGGGAGGAGAAGGCAACCGCCCCGTGGTATAGAACATCGCTTCCGGCGAGTTCGGTTCGAAGCCGTTCGCCTTGTTCGACGCGGCCAACGCCCCAAGGAACATGCGGGCAGTCGCGGTTGGGATGGCCATTTGAAACAGCTTGCCAGCGTAAATCTCTTCCAACCCTTCATGGGCCGCTGCCGAGTGCGAATCTTTGTCGAATCCATAGTAGGTAAGCGGCTCGAAGGCGAATGCCACGGTTGCCGCAGACGTCATGAGCATCCCGAGGATATAGCCACATACTCGTTTCGATCGGATGTTGGACGAGCCGAATTGCTTAGCAAACATAATGAACCATCCCTCGATAGACCGTGCTATTGCCAAGTTCTGCTGTAACTGAATTTCAAAATCTGCTCTTACGCACTTTGCTGCGACTCATCGGGAATGCCCATGTGTCGCAGCATCACGATGATCAACTCTTCGGTGAGTACGTCCATCTCCGGATCGTCGATCTCGTGCATCTGCATCTGATGAGCCAGCGTTGCGAATACCATTCTCAACCCCAGTCGGATCCCGCGTTCCGGTTCCGGGTGATTCACTTCGTCGAGCCGCGACATGACCAGTTCGGTAACGCGAGCGGTGATGTGGTCGCCCACGATCGACCAGGTCTGCCGAAAACGGATGTCCCGCGAAGCTTGTTCCAGAAACGCACGCAGTAAGCCCTGTCGAGCCTGGTAGCCGGCAACAATGATTGGAAACGTTGCACGAAGCGTCTGAGCCAACGAGACCCCCTGCCACTGAGCAGGCGACAGGAGTTCGTCGATCATCTTCCGTTGCGAATTCGAATACCGTTCGTAGATCGCGCCGAGCAACGCTTCTTTATTCGGAAAACGGGCGTAGATCGAACTGACCGAGGCGTCGGCCTCTTGTGCGATCTCGGCGACCGCGATTTCGTGAAAAGGGCGGAGGGCCATCAACCGCTCCGTGGCATCCAACACGCGTTCCTGCGTCAGCCGACTGCGCGTTTGATGGGCCTTACGGCTCCATTTTAATCCAACTGAAGGATTGGTCGTCACTTGGGAAAGTTCCCGTTTTGGAATTGGAATCGCATTCCAGTATTGTGTTGGAGTATACCCATGCTCGAGTCTGGCTGTTTCAGAAACCGCAGATTTTCTTCCGGCGGCGGCTGATGGCGATGAAGCAGAACGTAGCCCTGGGTGTCATCGGCAGGCCATAAACGCCTGCAAGGAAATCGGTTAGCACCCGGCGACTAATGCAAGATCTGAAAAGAAAGCGAAAGCCAAGCAGCAGACTCGGCAGCGGATTTCAGACAACACCCTGCGTTTGGCTAGCTCTTTCGCAGCAAGCCGGCGCTCGATTGGAAGTAGCGGCGGCGGCGTTTCTCGGGTGCGTCGTCGGCCTGGGTTTGGGTCTCTCGCAGGTCGTCGAGATTCGCCTGACAGTACCGGCAGCCGACCGACTCGAGGTGGAAGGTGATGTAGCCGGCATGGTCGGTGGCCAGCGTGCCCAACAGAAAGCTGCCCAAGTCTTCGCGCGAGGGGCAGCTCAGCCGATGACGCCGCCAGATTTCGCCCAGGGAATGCACGCCCGCATCGCGACGCGAGTTGATCATCACCAACCGACGGGCGAGGGCCTCATCCTTGCGGGCAGCCTCTTCGATGGCCGAGGCTTCACGCACGGGCAAGGCTTCGTCCAGGTAGGCTTCCAGGTCGCTGTTTTTGAATTGGTCGCTCATGGTGCGTCGATCGTCCTTGGCAAGCTAAGCCTGGCCATCCTCGAACAGTTCGGGAAAGACATCGTTGGAAAGCCCCTGCTTGCGAATGGTAGCGCGAAGCTTGGCCAGGAAATCGAACTTGTAGTTGGCCACCGTCTGTTCGGTGAGATCCAGGGCTTTGGCGACATCTTTATTGGCCCAACCGCGGACAAACAGCAGCTCAGTGCACTTCACCTTGTCCCAATCGCCCCGTTGCCGCCACCGCTGAAGATGTTGCTCGATGGCCTCGACCAGCGACTTCTCTTCCAACTGGCGACGCTCTTTGCTACGGGCCATGCTGCTGGCCGGTCGGGCAGCCCCGGGAAGTTCCCAGGTGCCGCCGGTGCTGTCGGCGGCCGCTAACGGAACCGTGGGGCGGCGGCCTTCGCGGCGGAGGTGATCGGTGAGCTTATGGGCCGCAATCGAGAACAGGTAGCTTTCCAGCGACCGGCTCACGTCGTAATTCGGCAGGCTGGTGAGAAACCCGATGAATGTCTCCTGCACCACGTCTTCGCTCACCGAGCGATTTCGCAGCCGGCTTTCGACGAAAGCCAGCAATCGTCCGTCGAAGCGGCCAATCAACTCGTCCCACGCCTGGCTTTCGCCGCGACGGATGCGGTCTACCAGGATGTAATCGTAGTCGGTTGCACTACTCATGAAACGCAGCCGCCGGAGTGGGGATTTACCTTCGCCATCAGAACTCTGCACATTCTAACAGGTGAAGGCGATCGTTTCATTGCGGGCAGGAAAGCCGGCAGTTCGGCCCATCCTCCGCGGAATGAGACAACATTCTGTAGGGAACGCCCTCCGTGGCGTTCCGAGTATTGCCGCATCGCCCCGAACGCCACGGAGGGCGTTCTCTACAGAGGCAACATACTCTCCGGTTGCTGTTGGGTGATTCAGTGGAATGCACCCAGGCCCACACCAAATCAGTGGCCGGAAGCCCTAGAATTTCACGATCGGGAAACAGCTCACTCTGCGATCTTGAGGCGCCGCCTTCTTGCACCGAGACCAGCAAGGCAGGCTAGTCCCATGGCGGCAAGCGCAAACGAACTTGGCTCTGGAACGGGTAGGGTGACCACGAAGCCTTCCGTGAATCCTGACGGATTGACCCCATAACCCACGATGGTATTGCCATCGGCCGATATGCCCGTCGCCTCTTCCAGTTGCCAACCTATGGCCAAGCCTGCATCCTGGAGTAGTTCTTGCAACGATCGCATCCCCTCGGATTCGGTCCAAATGAACGCTTCAAATCCAGCGTCGGTTTCTCCGTGACCGACTATGACGGAGCCGTCCGCCGAGGTGTCTTTAGCGATGCTGTAACTACTGTAGTAGGTTTCACCAGCCAGGTCGCCGAGTCCAACCATGCCACCGGCCTCCGTCCAGCGGAAGGCCTCTTTTCCCGATCCGACGGTGGGGGTGCTTTCACCCACGATAACGAGCCCATCACCCGATACGGCGTGGGCCCACCCACTTCCAGCTCCACCTCGCAGGGTCCCCAGATTTTCCATGCCATCGCTCTGTGTCCAACGAAATGGCTGCCAGGCCAAGCTGGCTACATTGCCCGCCCCGACCACGACAGAGCCATCGGCAGAAATGTCTCCTCCAAAGCTATTGAAGAGTCCTCCTGGAAAATCGCCCAGTAACTCGGGAGAGCCGTTCACGAAACGATACGCACTCTGTCCTTGTTCGTTCTTATTTGGCCGTCCAGTAACGGCGAAGGTCGAACCGTCGTCTGAGATGCCTCCGAATTCCTTCATGATTCGAAATGAGGAATTGTCAACTTTCTGCATTCCAGTAGCTTGTGTCCACTGAAAGGCAACGGATGCACTCTCGCCGCCAATGACCGATCCGTCGGCAGAGACAGCAGTCGCGCGTCCCTCTCCGCCTCCAGGCAGGGAGCCTAGATAAGTCATGCCTTCGTTGAGAGTCCATCGAATGGCTTGACGGCCTCCAGTGGCAGGCGAACCTTCTCCTATCACGGTTGAGCCATCGGCAGAAATACCCAGGGCGGTACTGTAAAAGCTCCCACCTGCAAGATCACCGATGGGTATGAAATCGGCAGAGGCCGAAGAGGTGAGCAAAAGCCCGACACCGAAAATGCAAAGACCGAGAGTATGAGAAGCACGCTTTCTCAAAGACATTAGCTGCCCGCTTTCTAGGAAGTGGATCGGAGGGGAGTTAAACCAGCAGTAGCGTTCTCGGTTCCAAGTAGCTTGAATTATCATGTCCCGGGGGAGCGATTTTTGTGCGCAACCTTGGATCCCCCCAGAGACCTTGTTTCGGAGATTATCAACCGACCGACATCGTATCAAGGAAAAAAACGCGCTCTTACACAAAGATTCATGTGCGCACACGATCTCGCTAATTGTAGGGAATGGCCTCCGTGGCATTCGTGAACTCGTCCGTGCGTACGGTATGGCACGGAGCGCATTCCCTTATATCTTGAGGTGGCCTGGAGTTTAAAAGGGGGGCCGTGTTCTGCGGAGTGAGCGTAGCGAACGTAGTAGAACACGGCGGCCGACCGGCAGATCGTCGTCCCCTAGGTCTTCAAGACCGTTCTGTAGCTGGATCGCCGGCCGGCCGCCTGTCGTATTAGCCCGAACAGTCGCCGGAGCTGTGCTGCCTATCAGGGCATACAAGCTCGTATCTACAAGGAGGGGTAACCGATGGCTCTTTTGAACCAAGTCCTCTGGGTCGGAATCGATGTCTCCAAACACTCCTGGGACGTCGCGATCGCCAACAGCAAGCATGTCCAACGCTTTGACGTCGATCCAACCGGCTGCCAGCAGCTGATCGCCATGCTTAGGGAGGAAGGCCTGAACCACATCTATCTCGAAGCCACCGGAGGCTACGAGCAAGAACTGGTTGCCGCACTGCACGAGCAATGGTTTCAGCTCTCAATCGTTAATCCACGTCAGGTTCGCGATTTCGCCCGGGTTCGAGGGCAATTGGCCAAGACCGACCGCATCGACGCGCTGATGATCGCCGACTTCGCCACGCGATTGCAGCCGGCGTTGTATGAAAAACCCTCGGAAAACCAGGAGAAACTGCGTTCAACGCGGGCTCGCCGGCAACAAGTGACCGATGCCTTGGTGCGAGAAAAGAACCGTTTGCGGCAGCAACGCGATCCCGACGCTCGACGTTCGGTGCAACAAGCCGTCGACTTTCACCAAGAGCAACTCGAGGCCTTGAACCAGCAGATCGAGCGGTTGATGTACGCCGATGAGGAGTTTCAAAAACGCCAGAAGCTGCTGCTCTCTGTGTCTGGCGTCGGCAAGGTCACCGCTGCCGGCCTCATCGCCGAGATGCCGGAACTCGGCGCGTTGAACCGTGGTCAGGCCGGACGCCTGGCCGGATTGGCCCCCATCAATCGCGACAGCGGCAGGTACCGCGGCAAGCGAATGATCGGCGGGGGGCGCGTCTCGGTGAGAAAAGTTCTTTACATGGCGCCCCTGGTCGCCACCAAGAGCAATCCTCTCATCCGCGATTTCTACCAACACCTTCT